AGATAAGTGATAAAGGGATGTCCATGATCATTGACCTTCTCAATGAAGCATTTAAGCATGCAAAGTTTCCTGCTTCACTTCATGACCTGAAGAAGACAGTTAGAAAACTTGGGCTACAGTATGAATCAATACATGCTTGCCCAAATGATTGTATGTTGTTTTGGGGAGAAGATTCTGGGAGAGAGACCTGCAAGATTTGTGAAACATCTCGATGGAAAATGAAAGGAAACGAAGCTGAAAATGAGGAAGTTTCTGAAAAGAAAAAAAAGAATAAAAAACAAGCTGCTAAGGTATTACGCTACTTTCCGCTAAAACCACGTCTACAGAGACTGTTTATGTCTTCTAAGACTGTGGAAAGTATGAAATGGCATGCATTAGCAGAAAACAAGGATGGAAAACTAAGACATCCAAGAGATGGCCAAGCATGGAAAACATTTGATCAAAAGTTTCCTGTTTTTGCATCAGATGCAAGGAATGTTAGGCTTGGACTAGCTACTGATGGTTTTAACCCTTATGGTGCTATGAGTACAAACTACAGTATATGGCCGGTTTTGTTGTTTCCATACAATCTACCTCCATGGATGGCAATGAAGCACTCATCAATGATATTGTCGATGATAATTCCAGGAAAACAAATGCCTGGGAATGATCTTGATGTTTACTTACAACCTTTGATCAAAGAGCTTAAAGAGTTATGGGCAACTGGTGTTCAAACAATTGATGCTTCGACAAAGAAAACATTTTGTATGCTTGCAGCTTTAATGTGGACAATTAGTGATTTTCCAGGACTTGGAAATTTATCTGGTTGGAATACATATACGGATCTAGCTTGTCCATCATGTAATTATGATTCTGCTCAACTACGTCTGCACCATGGGAAAAAGAATTGTTTTATGGGTCATCGACGCTTTCTTCAGCCTGATCATAAGTTTCGATATGATAAGAAACATTTTGATGGAAAAGAAGAGTTAAGACTACCTCCAGTTACACCTTCAGGGTCGACGATTATGGAGCAACAAGAAAGTGTCGATGTTGTACTTGGAAAAAATGCAGATGGTACTAAAAAGAAAAGAGACGAAGGAACACAATGGAGGAAAAAGAGTATTTTCTTTGAATTGCCATACTGGAAACATTCTCTGTTAAGACATAATCTTGATGTGATGCACATAGAGAAAAATGTCTTTGACAATGTGGTATTCACATTATTGGGTGAGAAGAGAAGGTCCAAAGACAATCTGAATGCAAGAAAAGATCTACATTATTTGGGTATACGCTCTGAATTATGGCCAGATGCTAATGGAAAGTATCTTCCAGCTTCTTTCAAGCTCACGAATCAAGAAAAAGATATTTTCCTTAGTATATTAAAGAGTGCAAGAATCCCAGATGGATACTCTTCAAATATCTCAAAATGTATTGATGTCAAGCAACGTAAAATTCTTGGCCTGAAAAGCCATGATAGTCACGTCATTATGGGCCATTTATTACCAATTGCGTTACGTAGCGTGTTATCACCAGATGTTACTTCTGTTATAGCAGAGCTATGTCACTTTTTTCGGGATATTTGCTCAAAGGTTATCGACGTCAGTGAGCTACTCAGCCTACAAAAAAGAATTGTTCTTGTGCTTTGTCATCTAGAAATGTTGTTTCCCCCTTCTTTCTTCACAGTAATGGTACATCTCATAGTGCACTTAACTGAAGAAGTAAAATTTGGGGGTCCAGTTCAGTTTCGGTGGATGTATCCTGTTGAGAGGTATGTAAAAAAAAGTTAAAACACAATAATTTTTTCATATTTAAAAGTTTTTAAAATGTGTTGTTTTTACAGGATCCTCGGACGTTTCAAATCATATGTGAAAAATCGTTCGCAACCTGAAGGATCTATATGTCAGCAATATTTAGCAGAGGAGTGTCTAACATTTTGTTCGATGTATCTCGACGGGGTAGAGACTCGATTTAATCGAATTCGAAGAGTTAATGATACTCCGATGTATACTCATAATCTTGGACCAGAATCACAAATTCCTAATATCTTTCCATCTCTAGGAAGGTATATTGGTGCTAGTCAATATGCTACTTTAAGTCCCTTAGAAAAGCAACAAGTGCATCGGTATATATTAATCTGCTGTCCGTTTCTTGACGGATTACGAGAGTAAGAACTATTTTCCTATTAAACTTGTACATTTTACTATTGTTACATGATTTAAACAATAACATTTGTTTTTTTTATGAAAATATAGGAAGTTTAAAGATGAGTTAAGTAGAGCTAACATGCGTGGTAGGAAACGACGTCATCCTTTAAACATCGACCGAGAAGTCCATCTTCATTTTGAGAAGTGGCTTAGACAAAAAGTAGAGAGAAATGAGATTGCTAATGATGATATTCGGCTCATTGCTAATGGTCCATCAGATAAGGTTTTGAAGTTCTCGTCATATAACATTAATGGTTATAAGTATAGGACTTTAGAACGAGATGGTGATCTGAAGACACAGAATTGTGGGGTTTATATATCTGCTGAAACCATTAGTTATGCTTCTTCTCGTGACACTAATCCAAGGGCTGGTGATGTTCCATATTACGGAAAGCTCATAGACATTATTCAGCTAAATTACTACGATAAATTTCGAGTAATTTTATTTAAGTGCAAATGGGCAGATACTCGTGATAATCGTGGATACAAGAGAGACATTTTTGGTCATCACATGGTGAATTTCTCTCGTACAATACATAGCGGTGCATACGAGGAAGATGAACCCTTTGTATTAGCATCTCAAGCAAAGATGGTTTATTATGTAGAAGACCCAAGTGAGAGTGGCTGGAGTATAGGGGTGCATATTACACCAAGAGACTTGTACGAGATGGGAGAATCTGATGTATCTGATGATCCACCTGAGAATATTGACATCAATGACTCTATTGTCAATGATAGATTACTTCTTTCAGATGAAATACCAAACTTTCGGCTAGTAAGAGATACCATGGAAGATGACGATGACGATGACGTTTAAGACTCACATTTGGTATTTATTAATATTTTAAAGTTTACTTTGTCTTTTATTTTGTTGCTTTTCATAGATTAGTAAGACTAATATTATATATTTTAGTTATTCATTAGTACTATGTCTGCTAATAGATTGTTACTATAGTCACCGGTATTGTTGATCGGATTTTTATATTTGTTTTACTATCTGTACGTGTTTCTTTTGTATCTATATTTGTTAGTGCATGGATGGATTGTCAGTAATTAAGGAGAGTGGCATTTTTGGTTTTTTTAAGGTACGTACAGATGGATACCTTTGATTCTGACGAGACACAAGATGGTGAAACGAATGAAACAAATTTTTATAATGAAGAGAATCTTGAGAACGTCCTGGTTGTGTTCGTTGTGTTGGTCTTGGTCCTACTCCTTCTTCATTTTTTTCAGAAACGCACCATCCCAGCATCCAATGAATCAGAAGTTATTAGCTTGAGGAATCGAGTTCATGAATTAGAAGAAAAATTGGTGAGGATGAATGATTTAGAAGACAAAATGGAGAAGATGAATGATATTATTTGTCGTTTTGCTACTTCAAGTACTTCCAATGATGAAAGGTAACAATATTTATTCTCAGTCTATTTTGTATTATGGAATTAAACTTCACTTATAACTTTGTTTATGATTATGTCGTTACAGGGACTAGCTAGTTATAAGGTCTTCGTGCTGATGGATGGATGGACTAGCTAATTAGAGCTGAGTATGGTGTTTTTATTTAGCTCTCGTTATGGTGTTTTTCTTTAGCTCTCGTTCATGTTTTAAGAAAACAAGTGACTTAATTCTTACTTAAGTGCGTTAGTTTTTTTTAAGTTTGGTTATTACACTTTAAGAACATATATGCATATATTCAGATATTACATTTAAATTTTATTTTCGTTTGTACAATTCATCGCAATTCTTTATATTATAGTTAATTGGTAATGAAAAAAAAACATATCCAGTTTAGTATCATTATCAAGAACTAAAATAAAATGACGCCAGTTTAGACATTTCTATTTTTTAGTATTATTAATTAAAATAAGATTAGATACATGTTTTGTTTTCCCGCTGGATTAAAAAATTCACCAAAAACAATACCAATTTCATCTAAAAATTTCACCGAAAACAAGACCAATTTTCCCGCTAAAGTTTCACCAAAAACATTTCTATTTTTATTTTTTATTACCCAGAAAGAAAAACCCATTTGACGGCGGCCTTTTTTCCCTGTGAACCCTAAGCAAATAACTGCAGTCTTCTAGTCAGTACCTTTTCCAATCTCTATCGTGATTGGGAAATTTTCTGTTTACAATTGATTTCTCCCCTCATTCTTCATTTCATTAATCATTTTTGTCTTAAACTTCCTTTCAGAGATTATGAAAACTGTTTGATTGGAGTCAGCCACAATTACATCGTACATTCAGTTTGATTCAATATCAGGTATTGATTCTGCATAATTGCTTCCTAATATTTTAATATGTAACTAGTTAGAGCTAGTTACAAGCCTCCTTATGGATTTTAGTAATTCCATTAATTTCTACTTTAATCCTAGTTAAGCTAATGCGAGAGAATCAACAAGAAGACGATTGCTGTAGAAATATCTAATTTTTTTTGTTTTCGGTGTAATATATACTAGTCGAAGTTATGATAAACTAAATATACTTAAATTCCAATTCTTGCTTACGTTGACTTTAAGAGATGCCATTCGTTTCCCAGCCTTGTAGTAATCAATTCATTCAATATGATTATTCTATATACTGTTATAAATTTTATATACTTGACTAGGTTTAGGGTGCTACTGCATTACTCTTTAACTGTTTTCTTTTCATAGTTATTCACTAGTGCTATGTCTGCTAATAGATTGCTACTAGTCACCCGTATTGTTGATCTGAATTTTATATTTATATCTGTTTCTTTTGTAGCTATATTTGTTAGTGCATGGATTGTCACTAATTAAGGAGAGTGGCATTTTTGATTTTTTTAAGGTACATACAGATGGATACCTTTGATTCTGACGAGACACAAGATGGTAAAGCTGATGAAACAAATTTTTATAATGAGGAGAATCTTGAGAACACAGCATCTCTTATATATACACAAGGACGTGAGCGTGGAAAGTGGGTGGTTAATGTAATAAGTAAGTACAGAAACATAGTTTATAATAATTACAATATCTGCTAAAAACAGTATTTACATGGGTAGTCTTTTTTTTGCAGGTTCAGATGGAACTGTAACAGTGGAACATCTTACAGCACAAGATGTATGGGGAATGGATAATCGTAGAGTCATTCTTGATATCGGTCCACATAACCAACCTGAAGATGGAAGTGGAGGTATATTTGGTACATGGCTTGGCATGTTAAGTACTGATTTGAACAAATTTCCTATAAATTATGTGGACTGGAGGAAGATACAATCATGGCGAAAGGATGATGTTTGGGATTTCATTCAGGTATAATGATACTTTTATTTTACTAAATAACGGTCTATATGTACTCCAAGTATTAACCTGATGTTAATTATTGTTCGTTGGTGCAGTCCAAGTTTTTCTTTGATGCTTCTAATGAGAACTTTAAGAAGTATGTGATGAAAAGTTTGAGCCAAAAGTGCAGAGGTCACAAAACTCGACTATGGAAATCTTGTCATCGTAACACTCCTGAAGAAACTATAGAGGCTCGGCGAGAGTTTATTCCAAAGGAACAGTGGCAAGATTTTGTTCATCAACAGTTTGGTGACAAAGCTAAGGTGATAGAAAAAGATTTATTTTTATTGTGATATATGGTTTTTAATTTACTAACATGCTATTATGTATTTGAATTTTAGAAACTGAGTGAGAAAAATGTGATTAGTCGGAGCTATTACAAAACACCACATACTTTAGGGAAAAAAAGCATTTCCCGAAAGTCTAAAGAAATTGTAAGTGTCTCTTTATACTTTAATTTGAACTTTAAAGCATAGGTTTAAATGACTAAATCTTAAAGAAATCAGCACAACTTATATCTAATGCCTGTTTAATTATGTGCAGTTTCTTAAGACAGGTAAACGTCCAAGTCGTGGAGAAATGTTTGTGTGTTCATGTAAAAAAGCTAATGGAAACTTTGTTAATGAAGAAGCTCAAGGATTATCGGTCAGATTCTTTCTCTATTATATATATATGCTATGTGATAGTTGACTTAGTTCCACTATTATTGATGGTTAGATTTCTATGATCGTTGTTCTGTGTCAATAAAAATTTGCTTGTCTTTTCTGTTTGTCAATGCAGAGTTGCACGTTAACTTATTTTCTTTCTGTTTGCTAGTCCTCCTGTTTCATGCTATGTTTATAGGTCTGATTGAATTGGTTTTGAATTTTTTTACTATCAGGAACAATTAACGGAGAAGATGACTGAAAATGCACCAAACACAAGTGGAAATAATACTTCAGCAAGTTCAAATGATGCATTCTTACAAGTATTTGGTGCTGAATGTCCTGGTCGTGTTCGTTGTGTTGGTCTTGGTCCTACTCCTTCTTCATTTTTTCATAAACGCACCATCCCAGCATCCAATGAATCAGAAGTTATTAGCTTGAGGAATCGAGTTCATGAATTAGAAGAAAAATTGGTGAGGATGAATGATTTAGAAGACAAGGTGGAGAAGATGAATGATATTATTTGTCGTTTTGCTACCTCAAGTACTTCCAATGATGAAAGGTAACAATATTTATTCTCAGTCTATTTTGTATTATGGAATTAGACTTGACTTATAACTTTGTTTATGATTATGTCGTTACAGGGACTAGCTAGTTATAAGGCTTTCGTGGTGATGGATGGAGCATGAAGGAAATTTGGTGAATATTTAATTAGAGCTGAGTATGGTATTTTTCTTTAGCTCTCGTTCATGTTTTAAGAAAACAAGTGACTTAGTGCGTTAGTTTTTTTAAGTTTGGTTATTACACTTTAAGAACATATCTATGCATGTATTCAGATATTAAATTAAAATTTTATTTTCGTTTGTACAAATCATCGCAATTATTTATATTATAGCTAATTGATACAATTAATATATTGTCTAAAAATGAAAAAAAAAACCATATCCAGTTTAGTATCATTTTTAAGAACTAAAATAAAATGACGCTAATAGTAGTATATTTTGCATCATTTTGGAAGTGATGCAATTGTTGAAGTTTAACGTCATTTTGAACAAAAACAAAATGATGCTAATAGAATACTTTGAATCGTTTTTGAAGTGATGCAACAAGTTTAACGTCATTTTAAAAAACTGACACTAAAATTAGATTTAGCATCATTTAAAGTTTTGACGTAAACTATATATTTTGCATCATTTGTAAAGCGACGTTATAATTAAAAATAACAACGTTTAGTATAAACGATTCTAAACGAAAATAAACGATACTAAAATTTCATTATAGCATCTTATTAAAACGATGCAAAATATATTTAGCTTCACTGGATTTGGCGTCGCTTTTTAAAATGATGCGATAACTCTAACATCGCTTTAAAAGTGATGCTAAAATTAAAAACAAACGATGCTATACACGGCGTTTTTAGTAGTGTTATCCTGTTTTTTGTTAAAATGAGCTTATCCTGTTATGGAAATTAATCTATTTGTAAAATAAAACAAAAACAACAATGGATGAAGTGTAGTCCCGAAAGGCCGAAACTATCGATGAATAATAAACAATTAACACAAGTAGATATAGTCTGATATATGAATCACATGATTGATAATTTGTATTAAGAATTGTGTTGCAAAATGCAACACGTACGTACTGATACGACCTACAATCATACGTCACACATGTGCTAAATGTGAAACAGATAAATTTGTATTCGCCTAGTGAATGTGAATCGAGTCATCACATGGGCTATCTTTGATTTTAAACATTGCTTTGTCTCATTACATGTCGGAGAAAGAAACCACCGATTTTTTAGTTTGCCCATCACGGGATGCTCTACTCTATGTTCTTAAGTTCGAACTCATAAAAGTCTCCCTTCTTGATTCCCCTCCATTTCCTTTTACAATTTTTAAAATGAAAATATAACTTTGTATGGCTATAATTAAAAACAAGTAGGTCATGAATACTTAAATTATTGTAACCTTTATCAATTCATTATGATGGTGAAATTAGCTAGCTTAAGCCATCTTTCTGTTATAAAACTAATTCGAGATTCGAACTATCAATATTAACGTCGGGATACTCAGTCTACACTCTACATGTTCGGCCAGAAAATTAGTCGCACCAAATATGAATATTTATCGATAAATGTTCCAGTTTCTCTCATGTCCCCAGCAATCACGATTCACGACTCGTGTGTGATGTTCTTGGACACCACCGCATGATTTCTACCAAATTTACAAGCTATCTAGCTAGCAAGCCTCGTATAATACAGTTTTCATATTATTATTAATATATAAAAAAATCGATGTAAGATATGATTTAATTTATTATTTAATCTTGTTGACAGATACAGTTTGTTTAGCACCGACCATATCAATTACTTGCGATGTAGAATGTAGTACTAGTCACAACGTTGATTAACTGAGCAACAATGGTTTGGAACTTTAGTAGATGGAATTATATTTCCTCGACCGTAAAAACTTGTTTTATTGATTATGTGGCGGACCTGGAAATTTATTTATCTGGGTCAAAATTTTAATTAGGTGTCAGTGAGGGATTCGAACCTTGGTTAGAGGGGTCAGAGAAGGAGATTTTAACCAACTAAGCTGTGTTAACGCTGATGTATTAGCTGAAAACTTAAATATATAATTATTTTAGAGGTGTGAGGTGACCACCCTCCTTCTCATGTAGGTCCGCCCCTGTGGTCCCTCTGTAATCTCATTTTCACCGTAGACTAAACTAGATTTTGATTGATTCGGAGATCTTGTAACGCAGTGAGTGGTTAAGACTTCAGGATCTCACGTGACACAGCATTGACTCATCAACGCGAGATTTACACGGCTTGGGTTTTATTATAAACCATGCATTTCAAATATAATTATTTTAACGACAGCGACCACGGATATAGTTTTTCTTTTTGTTTGGTAAATGTATGTATATATTTGTTATATATACTACATACACATGAGGAATTTGTACAACATATAACTTAAACGATTTATGCCAATGTTGTTGGGGGAAAAAACGGATGACCAAAAATTAGGCAACACGCCAACATTAGGTTTAGGTGCCACTTGTCCAGATCAGTAAGTTAATACATTTTCACGACGTGCGCCTTGCCTCGTGACGACAAAAAAAGCATGTATGCGCTGAACAAGAGGGCAACATTGTGAAAAATCCTCTCTTGAAAAGCCGATTCCAAGATCAACACGAGATAGTAATCCTCTCTTAGGCACGGTTTGAGGAGGTCGGATAATCCGAATCGAAAAAGACTTGAGAGACCATGTCCTTCGAGAACTTTCATTCACGTATAGGAATTCTTCTCATATGTTTTTCTGGGAGAGAGAGTTCTAACTTCCAACCCTGGGCTGGGAGAGAAAAGGTCTTCGGAAGCGTGCCTTACTGTGTTACGCGTGCAAGATCGTTCAACATGTGGAACTCACCTGAAGCGGCTCTCTCTGCATAAATATTTAATTATCTTCGAACGAAGCTCTCATTCTACACTTACTAGAAATTAAAAAAACCTTTGTATCCAGAACCAAGGCTAGACGACATTGTGTACAAGAGACCTGAAAATATTTTGCGAACAAAATAATATCATAATCCATTTTGAATCCGAAAAATGTGCAAATATCGTAAGTTGTAGCTGAAAAGGTTTATTTGATAGATGATAAAAGGAAAAAGAGTTTTTTTTTCACATAAAAATTAAAATGTGGATTGTGTTTTAGAACACTTAAAACTTATATATTTTTCTTCTCGTGAATTTATATGTTACATACTAAATAATTTTGTTTGTTAGATTATTGTTTCTTACATAATTTATGTTTGTAATTAATAAAATATTTAAAATGATACTAAATCAAAAACTTTTTTTGAAATGATAAAAAAAAAAAATTACATATGTGTGTGTATATATAATCACACAGCTCAAATATAACTAATTAGCAAAAAAAAATATAACTGCATGATTTATTAAATTAGTCTAGTATATGAATTTTTTTGGTATACGTGTTGAATTTAATATTCATTTAGATGATATCATTGTTAAATAGCGATTTCTTAAATAAACAGCTATGGATTTTGAATATTAGGACAATTAGTGTATTGATAATTTGAAAATAAAAAAAGGGAGAGAAAGGGTAGTTGTCGGCAAAGATTTAGCCAAAGTGGGCCCATTCCAGTAATATAGAAAGGTCAACTGTCAGTAGGTCAATAAAAATGGGACCCGCAAGGCTGTTACACGCAGATGACGTGGCCCAACCGTTGGTAGCCGACACCAACGGACCAACCTCCTTTCTGTATCTTCCGACATTCACTTTGGTTCCTCTCTAATCTTCTCTCTAAATTCCTTTATTAGGTTTTAATTTCAAATTTCTTCTTTTTTCTGCTTTAGGTTTTAGTTCCATCACTACATTATTTTCTACCAATCGCTTTCTCTGTTCATATTGTGACAACGAGAAATTTTGGTGCTGCCATTCAGGGTGTTAGACGTTAAGTCATTGCCCAGAAGATATGGCATAAGTAGATAGGTAAAGATAACAATTAATTGCGATAGTTTTCTGTTTAGTTTTATCTATACTTGTTGATTTGAATTATGATGGTTTTGTATTAACTTTCATGTTTTTTTTTATGTTTTGAGTTAACCCAATCACTAACATTAAAAATATGAACAATTTGTCTTTTATTTTATTTTATTAGGATGTTAACACTCCCACTTTATCTCGAGTTTTCTATTTCTAAAATTTTAGCATGTTATAAATATTATGTTTGTTTACTTCTGTTAGACTATAAACATGCATATGCATTTGACTCAACGTTAAAATTTGTAAGCATAATGTAAAATAGCATTTGCACCCGAAATAAGATGAAAAAAATAATATATATACTTTTTTACATATCTACTTTGTTGTGGTAGCATATGAGCCTCATAACCATTGATTATTTTCTATTATGTTAGTTTTGTAAATATTAATTATATTTTGAGACAAACATATCACAATCCTTAAAATTTTCATGTTTTTCACTGCAATTAAATTTACATATAAAAACTCGACTTCTATTTTTTTTAAAACAAACTCTAACTCTAATTTCTCATTGGCTTTTTATTATCTTAATTAATTTATATTCAACTTTTTAACTTGTAAACACATTATAACATTTTGAAATAGGATAAATTCTTTTAATAAAAAGGTAAATATATACCATTTCAAGTTACATATATTTTTACTTATATTCAAACTTTTTGATAACTTTTAACATCAAGTTATCACATACTTTATATTAATTAAGTAATTTAGTTGTGTATTTTTCTTAGTTTTATTTATATTTAAAATATAAATATATGCAAAGAAATATGAATAGTCATGTATTAAATATCTTAAAAACAATTTAATGAATTTTTTGTGCTGATGTGGACACTCTAGATGGAGAGAGCAACTCCCTAATTATATATAAGATTTAAATATATATATATATATATATATTTCTTTTCTTAAAAAAATGAAAACTACAATAATGAAGAGTAGTCCAAAAGCATTTTGTAATAAAAAATGCAATTAACTGATGATATTAAAAATGCTTTTAGCTGAAGATATTTATTGAGATTTTTTTTTTAGGTTCTAATTTCCGCTGAAAATAAATGATTTATGCCTTTTTGCAGA